CATTCAGACCTGTAGTGGATTACCACTGGCTTAATGTACTGACTATTCCAGCAGCATTCCCTCTTCCGAATCTCAGTTTGTTGTTTCAGGATGTTGGTTCCGGAAATCGAGTTTTCTCCACTTTTGACTTGGTCAAGGGATTCTTACAAATGCCAGTGGCCAAGAATAGTCAGCCACTTACCGCATTTTCCACTCACACTTTGGGACACTGAATTCGTGAGAACACCATTTGGGTTATGTAATGCTCCTCTCACCTTCCGTAGATTGATGTCTATTGTACTTAGTGGGATAATTAACGACCAGGTTATGGTTTACCTGGATGACATCTTTATATGCTCCCCATCGATATCTGAAAGAAATTGTGTCACTTATTCGAGCGTCTCGCAAGTGCAAGCCTAACCATTGAGATTAAAGCTCAATTTATTAGCCTATACCTTAACATCTGATGGTATATTGCCGAATGAAAAAAAATACCAGCCGTGATTGACTTCTCGCAACAGCAAAACCAAAAAGAACTGAAATCCTTCCTCGATCTTTCCAATTTTTATAAACCGTTTATTAAAGGTTATGGATCTATTGTAAAACCCCTCACGATACTCGTTAAGAAAGACCTAGCCTAAAGAGACAGGATTCTTTTCTACAACTGAAGGCATTACTGGCTAACGTACCTGTTCTGGGCCTCACCGATTTCGAGTTGCCTTTTGTGCTCACGACTAACGCATATAGTGTAAGATTAGGCGCTATTCTTCACCAGAAGGTAGATGGTAAGCTTCGACCCACTGCCTTCGCAAGCAAAATCCTGAAGCCTGCAGAGCGGCCATATCACGTCACTGGCCACGAATCTTTGCAATTACCTGGGCACTCCATCACTTCTGGGAGTTGGTACTCGGATATAAAACTGATGTGCACACCAACCACTCTGCTCTCACGACAGCCCTTCACGGGCGAGATCCACATGGAAGACGGGCACGTGCCATAGAAGTTTTAGCTGACTACGACGTAACGATCATCTAAATACCCGGCCCGCAAAATGTCGTGGATGCTCTCTCCCGCGCACGTTTGCCACTAACCGCGGATTTAATGGCCAGTAAGTATACTCCTTTTCCTTCTAGCTTTGCAAAGCGTCAGAGTCCCCTCAATTGCATGCTAGCTAACGCAGCTAACTAGCCTCTATACCCTCCCTCCGAGGTTAAGATTCACTTGACAACTCTACATAGGTGACAGCGCTCTCCTCTTTAGAAGAGCTACCCTCAGGTAAACTAAACGTCGAGGTTTTACCAGAGATGTTGCAGTGAGTGCGGAATCACTCTGTAACGAGTGTAATGCGTCAGTTTCCCCTCGCATCCGCTGGCCGTAGCCGATGAGGGTGCCCTCTGCGCGGCTGCGCAGGCCGATGTCCAATAAAAATCGATATAGCGCTACAATTACTGTGAAAAAAATAAATATTCCACATTCACTATTGAAAATAAAAGACTGCACACTATTTTGCGCAACGGAAAAAGGCGCTGTAAACTTTATTACCACTGTGCGTTGATGTCACAGCGCAGGTGAAAACGCGCAGGCGGAAAACAATAGCGAAGAAACCGCCACTCAGGCCCGAGACTTCAGCGAAGTCAGAGAGAGAGAGACTTTTTATTATTTTTTACGATTTTAAGCTATTCACAGTGTTTTTATTTTATATTATTATCTTTTGTATTGTGAGGCGGTGGAACACGACATCGGAAACATCGGAAACGCTATATATCTTAAGGTAATAGTTTTATATTGGTTATGTTCATGTACGCTACCACTCCTTCAGTAAAATACAGAACCCGTAACTTTGAATTTTTTTCTAGAACCCTTTTTGTTTTGTATTTTATCAGTTTGAATATCTTATTTTTACTAGAATCTTTGATTTCATTTTATTCTTTTATTTTATCGTGAATGGCCTTGGTTTTAAAGTAGTTTAATTAAGTTTTACGTTAGTCTTTCGTTGGGTTCAATGGGGTTTTATTGCTTTTGTTTTACTTTTACTTTTAATTTCTTTTTTACGTTACTTTTGTCACTTTTACGTTTATGTTTTACGTAAACCCGGGCCATATCACGATACGGAAAGCAACACCAAAGATGGGCATCTCTAAGCCTAAATTAAATGAGGGAGAGGGCCACACGCTACCACTTCAGTCCTTTCCCATATTAATCAGAGGTGACGGATATTGAAGATAAAGCACATTGAAACATGGTGAAAGGATCCATAGAGTTTACGCAAAATATATATATCCCAAAGAGCTTAGTAAACGCTACAACTCGAGCCTAGAGTCCTTCAGCTCATGCCCGAGTCACGCGAAGCAGCTTACCGGGGTGACTGAAGGCCATTCATATGGCTCGAGAGATGCTTCTCCCCCCTCCTCATAACTATGCCTTCCGCTATGTCATTTTGAATTTTCCTTTTGAGAAGGTCACCCACAACACCTTATCAGGATTTGAAACCACGCGTAGTAGTACACATTCTTGTATTCGT